GGAAGTTATTTTATAATAATAAAACTGGAGTTGCCTTTTTTTAACTCTTATAACTTTAATTTGCCTCATTAAGGAACGTAAATATCACAATTGAGTTACTATTTGCAAACAGACCTCTTTTTGACAACTTTGCAAAATCTATTATCCTTGCAATGGCCCTTTTTCGTAGCTCAAAACACAATTTTCGCAACTCATTATAGCATAAAATAAATGTAAATCACGTAATAAATTGATACGCTGCACATATAAGTGAAATACATGGTAAGACGTGCAGGTCAATGAACGAGATATAAATATGAGCAAATAAAATGAAATTAAAGCGCTTAAATGCTACTTGTTTAGTTTCAAATAAAACATGGGGAAGTTATTTTATAATAATATAACTGGAGTAACCTCTTTTTTAACTCTTATAACTTTAATTTGCCTCATTAAGGAACGTAAATATCACAATTGAGTTACTATTTGCAAACAGACCTCTTTTTGACAACTTTGCAAATTCTATTATCCTTGCAATGGCTCTTTTTCGTAGCTCAAAACACAATTTTCGCAACTCATTATAGCATAAAATAAATGTAAATCACTTAATAAAGTGATACGCTGCACATATAAGTGAAATACATGGTTAGACGTGCAGGTCAAAGAACGAGATATAAATATGAGCAAATAAAATGAAATTAAAGCGATTAAATGCTACTTGTTTAGTTTCAAATAAAACATGGGGAAGTTATTTTATAATAATAAAACTGGAGTTATCTCTTTTTTAACTCTTATAACTTTAATTTGCCTCATTAAGGAACGTAAATATCACAATTGAGTTACTATTTGCAAACAGACCTCTTTTTGACAACTTTGCAAAATCTATTATCCTTGCAATGCCTCTTTTTCGTAGCTCAAAACACAATTTTCGCAACTCATTATAGCATGAAACAAATGCAAATCACTTAATAAATTGATACGCTGCACATATAAGTGAAATACATGGTTAGTCGTGCAGGTCAAAAAACGAGATATAAATATGAGCAAATAAAATGAAATTAAAGCGCTTAAATGCTACTTGTTTAGTTTCAAATATATCAAGGGGAAGTTATTTTATAATAATAAAACTGGAGTTGCCTTTTTTTAACTCTTATAACTTTAATTTGCCTCATTAAGGAACGTAAATATCACAATTGAGTTACTATTTGCAAACAGACCTCTTTTTGACAACTTTGCAAAAACTATTATCCTTGCAATGGCCCTTTTTCGTAGCTCAAAACACAATTTTCGCAACTCATTATAGCATGAAATAAATGCAAATCACTTAATAAATTGATACGCTGCACATATAAGTGAAATACATGGTTAGTCGTGCAGGTCAAATAACGAGATATAAATATGAGCAAATAAACTGAAATTAAAGCGCTTAAATGCTACTTGTTTAGTTTCAAATAAATCAAGGGGAAGTTATTTTATAATAATAAAACTGGAGTTGCCTCTTTTTTAACTCTTATAACTTTAATTTGCCTCATTAAGGAACGTTAATATCACAATTGAGTTACTATTTGCAAACAGACCTCTTTTTGACAACTTTGCAAAAACTATTATCCTTGCAATGGCCCATTTTCGTAGCTCAAAACACAATTTTCGCAACTCATTATAGCATGAAACAAATGCAAATCACTAAATAAATTGATACGCTGCACATATAAGTGAAATACATGGTTAGTCGTGCAGGTCAAATAACGCGATATATATATGAGGAAATAAAATGAAATTAAAGCGCTTAAATGCTACTTGTTTAGTTTCAAATAAATCAAGGGGAAGTTATTTTATAATAATAAAACTGGAGTTGCCTCTTTTTTAACTCTTATAACTTTAATTTGCCTCATTAAGGAACGTAAATATCACAATTGAGTTACTATTTGCAAACAGACCTCTTTTTGACAACTTTGCAAAATCTATTATCCTTGCAATGCCTCTTTTTCGTAGCTCAAAACACAATTTTCGCAACTCATTATAGCATGAAACAAATGCAAATCACTTAATAAATTGATACGCTGCACATATAAGTGAAATACATGGTTAGTCGTGCAGGTCAAAGAACGAGATATAAATATGAGCAAATAAAATGAAATTAAAGCGCTTAAATGCTACTTGTTTAGTTTCAAATATATCAAGGGGAAGTTATTTTATAATAATAAAACTGGAGTTGCCCTTTTTTTAACTCTTATAACTTTAATTTGCCTCATTAAGGAACTTAAATATCACAATTGAGTTACTATTTGCAAACAGACCTCTTTTTGACAACTTTGCAAAAACTATTATCCTTGCAATGGCCCTTTTTCGTAGCTCAAAACACAATTTTCGCAACTCATTATAGCATAAAATAAATGCAAATCACTTAATAAATTGATACGCTGCACATATAAGTGAAATACATGGTTAGTCGTGCAGGTCAAGTAACGAGATATAAATATGAGCAAATAAACTGAAATTAAAGCGCTTAAATGCTACTTGTTTAGTTTCAAATAAATCAAGGGGAAGTTATTTTATAATAATAAAACTGGGGTTGCCTCTTTTTTAACTCTTATAACTTTAATTTGCCTCATTAAGGAACGTAAATATCACAATTGAGTTACTATTTGCAAACAGACCTCTTTTTGACAACTTTGCAAAAACTATTATCCTTGCAATGGCCCTTTTTCGTAGCTCAAAACACAATTTTCGCAACTCATTATAGCATGAAATAAATAAAAATCACTTAATAAAGTGATACGCTGCACATATAAGTGAAATACATGGTTAGTCGTGAAGGTCAAATAACGAGATATAAATATGAGCAAATAATCTGAAATTAAAGCGCTTAAATGCTACTTGTTTAGTTTCAAATATATCAAGGGGAAGTTATTTTATAATAATAAAACTGGAGTTGCCCTTTTTTTTAACTCTTATAACTTTAATTTGCCTCATTAAGGAACGTAAATATCACAATTGAGTTACTATTTGCAAACAGACCTCTTTTTGACAACTTTGCAAAAACTATTATCCTTGCAATGGCCCTTTTTCGTAGCTCAAAACACAATTTTCGCAACTCATTATAGCATGAAATAAATAAAAATCACTTAATAAAGTGAAACGCTGCACATATAAGTGAAATACATGGTTAGTCGTGCAGGTCAAATAACGAGATATAAATATGAGCAAATAATCTGAAATTAAAGCGCTTAAATGCTACTTGTTTAGTTTCAAATAAATCAAGGGGAAGTTATTTTATAATAATAAAACTGGAGTTGCCCTTTTTTTTAACTCTTATAACTTTAATTTGCCTCATTAAGGAACGTAAATATCACAATTGAGTTACTATTTGCAAACAGACCTCTTTTTGACAACTTTGCAAAATCTATTATCCTTGCAATGCCTCTTTTTCGTAGCTCAAAACACAATTTTCGCAACTCATTATAGCATGAAACAAATGCAAATCACTTAATAAATTGATACGCTGCACATATAAGTGAAATACATGGTTAGTCGTGCAGGTCAAAGAACGAGATATAAATATGAGCAAATAAAATGAAATTAAAGCGCTTAAATGCTACTTGTTTAGTTTCAAATAAATCAAGGGGAAGTTATTTTATAATAATAAAACTGGAGTTGCCTTTTTTTAACTCTTATAACTTTAATTTGCCTCATTAAGGAACGTAAATATCACAATTGAGTTACTATTTGCAAACAGACCTCTTTTTGACAACTTTGCAAAATCTATTATCCTTGCAATGCCTCTTTTTCGTAGCTCAAAAAACAATTTTCGCAACTCATTATTGCATAAAACATATGCAAATCACTTAATAAATTGATACGCTGCACATATAAGTGAAATACATGGTAAGACGTGCAGGTCAAAGAACGAGATATAAATATGAGCAAATAAAATGAAATTAAAGCGCTTAAATGCTACTTGTTTAGTTTCAAATAAAACAAGGGGAAGTTATTTTATAATAATAAAACTGGAGTTGCCTTTTTTTAACTCTTATAACTTTAATTTGCCTCATTAAGGAACGTAAATATCACAATTGAGTTACTATTTGCAAACAGACCTCTTTTTGACAACTTTGCAAAATCTATTATCCTTGCAATGGCCCTTTTTCGTAGCTCAAAACACAATTTTCGCAACTCATTATAGCATGAAATAAATGCAAATCACTTAACAAAGTGATACGCTGCACATATAAGTGAAATACATGGTTAGTCGTGCAGAACTAGAACGAGATATAAATATGAGAGCAAATAAAATGAAATTAAAGCGCTTAAATGTTACTTGTTTAATTTAAAATTAAACTAGGGGGAAGTTTTTAATAATATTAAAACATGAGCTTCCTATTCTTTAACTATTATGAATTTTATTTGCCTCATGAATGGAATGTTATAATCGTAATTGAGTGATTATGACTAAATGTCGTTCAATATAGTATAAATTTGCTTAAACTCTATATATTACTGTATACATATTGCTTAATTTTATGTTTTTTTTATAGGTTATTAGAAATGCTAGAAATCTAGATTTTTTAATGTTTGAAATACAATTATCTGAATGTAATTCATGCTCGAAAATTGATGCCGTTTGGTAAGGTTAAAAATACCCCCGATTGATATTTTTCGGCGGTGAAAATTTACTGATATTAAAATTCATAATATTACACCAGACGTAAAATGGTAAATCATCATAAAAACGGCAACAGACTAACATATGTAGTGGAGGTAAAAAAAAAACTTTGATGTTGTTCTCGAGTTTACGACCTCTGCTCTCTCTAGCAGTGCAATGATCAAAGTTGGCCCAGACAGCCGGTCCTCAGCTCTCTGACTAGTAAAACTATTCAGAGATGATCTGTGTGTGAAAGGCGGTGACAAACGTGCGCGGGACATAAACCGGTTGTTGTGCGTGTCGTCGTCGTCGGAGGGCGCGTGCAAGGAGGGTTTCGGTCGGAGGGGTAGCGCGAGCGGCCAGGGGTTCGGTGGGTTCGGTGGCAGAGTCAGTCAGTCAGTGGGCCGGCCGCGTGGCGGATGCTGGTAGCATGACCATGGACGACGACGAGCTGCGAGCATCGGCCGCCCGCAAGGGCCGCAGCGCCAGTATCTGCGCGCCCGGCTTCTCCAGTATGGAGGCCGTCGTGCAGGCGGCCACCCAGGCCGACACGCCGCAGCGCGCCAGGCGCGCCAAGCCGGCCACGCGTTCCCAGAGCGCGCGAATCACGCAGGCCAACAAGCCGAGGGTCACGCGCAAGACCAGGGCCGAGTCGCCCTCCATGGTGAGTTTTCCAAAAAAATTATATTTTCGGAAATAAAAAATCTCCAAAATTTGCTTCATCCGCAAAAATTCCAAACAAATAACAAAAAATGCAACGGTTTCTTAAATATTTAACAAGTTTTTCAGTTCTTTTACTTTTTTTATTGGGAAAATTTGAGATTTTTTGGCAAAATAGATGCCATAGAGAGAGGAAAATTCAAAGATGCCGAAAATTTGATCATTTAATAGAAAATATTTTGTGATTTTAGACGAAAGTTTTGTTAAATGCACCCATTTTTCTGGTTTTTGTGGTTTTATGTGAAAATATTCATTTCAAAATTGGTGATAAAAGGTGAAAATATCAAAATTATAAAAAATACTAATTATATATATAGATTTTCTTTTTTAACAAAAATGGGTGATTTTTCATTCAGTTGGTGATTTTAGAGTCTCAATGTGTTTATTTATTCCTCCAACAAAGATCTGCCGATTGCAAATTACAAGTAGTTTGCGTGCACAAGTAAATTTGCAATTTCAACTTAATTTATGCATTCAAATAAGTCTTTCTTATAAATTTTTCAATTTTTCTAAACTAACTCTTACAATAAGAAGTTTCATACATTCGAATGAGAAGCGGTATGAGCTAAATTCTTTCATCTAAGAGAGTATAATTATGTAATAAGGGAAATTTAAAGCTCTTTTCAGTGTTTGATTTCTTTTTCAAAGTGATTTCCTCAAGAACTTTGTTAACTTCCTTTTCTTACCATTCAAATAAAAGAGCTCCTTTATTATAGTAAAATGTACAAGATTTTGCAAAGTTCGAAGGTCTATTCAAAGAACAATACAATCTGTATTTTTAGTTTCAAATCGTTTATGTAATTCTAGAAGAACCCTTGGCTAATTTCCAACTGTTTGAACCATCGTGCAATTTTATAATTATAACAAAGACTAGTTTCTTAGTCAACTTTTATACAAATTGAGTTAATTTTAAAATCAACTTGGTTGTTTCAATTGTTTGCTATATTAATTTGAAACCTTGTTCAATAATTGAGTTTTTTGCTTATAATATTTTCAATATTTATTTTTTCTTCAAATCTTCCACTTGTAAGTTTTTCTAAAAATCTGAATAATCTTGTATCAATATGCCGACGTTGGTTGTTAAATTTATTGACTCGCCGTCTTTTCTTTATTCGTTGGTAGAAATTTCTCGAGAGATCGTGTTGCTATTCTCTTGACTGCCTCGCAAGAACGATCGTCAAGCTGATTCTTAGAACTGACTGTAAAACTTGTGTTGCTTTGCTGGCTCGATCTTTATTATTGGGCAAAAAAAAATGCTCTATTTTGTTTTCTAATTCAAAAATTCCTAGTAATTATTTTGTTTTCGTGGGGAAAAATGAAGAGTGTAAAAATAATTATTTTCCTCAAAATATCTGTAGATGAATATTTTATGAAATATTAATGAGAAAAAAAATAATCGAAACCACATTTCCCTTTTTTTGTATCGAACTTAATCAAAAAATTATTAACCCTCTCCCAAATTTAGCCCTCTGAGGTTTGCATAGTGCTCCTGAGGGAATTGAATAGCCAGACTGTGCTCAAACCTGTACTTGTTTATTCTGCGAGTCAACCACAACCGTGACCAAATTACCAAATAGACAGACATTCTCGGTGCCATGATACATTATACATTATGTGGTGCGTTGAGCGTTCAATTGCTCGCCCACAATTGGGCTGATTGCGGTGGTGAATCTTGATATAATCGTGTAATTAACGAACGGCATTGACTTGCAAATGAGAGCAAATTTCAACGGAAATTTCCTCGCGGGCGTTCGCGACAAGATCGAAAAACTCATTACTACCAAAATGCCCTTGGGACGCACAAGTTAATGAATCTCTCGGCTCACAAACAAACCCTCGCTGTGTTCGCACTCTTTTGAAAAATAAAATGAGATTAACAAATCTCCGGTGAAATGAAATTTCAAGTCCTTATATTTTTATTTATTCTTGAAGTAAAAGAGAATTATCAAGACCGAGATGTTGAAATCTCGATGAAATTGGATTTGACATTTTTCCCTCCAAAATCATTTGAACTTTAGAGGAAATTCAATATATTATTGCTGTTTTAATCAATTTAATTTAGAATTCAGGACTAAGTAAATTCTCCTGAGGTTGAAATCCATTTGGCGGGTAAAGTTTTTAAACTGCTAGTTCAAAAAGCTTAGGGGTATGAATTAAATATTTAAAGAAATATTTGCAAATTTTTATTGTTTTTTTATAGGCAAAGCTACAATCTCTTTAATTGTGTCATTCTTTAAAAAATAATTTTTTTTTCGAGGAATTAATTTTGATTTTACTTCCAGGTTATAAACCGGAGCTTTGGTTTTCAGCTTTATAAAGTATTAGGTCTCCAGGAACCTTATTCACTTTTATTCCAGCGTTGCCTCTTAAGTCTAAAGGAAAATCTCTAGTCCCGTAGGAAATTTCGCTCTAATGCCGCAAAATTGAGTTAAAGTCAACAAACCGCTCTCGGACGGTCTCGGCCGGTAGATTTTCCCTAATGGAAGAGAAACGCGATTTCCATTTTATCCAACCTGTCTTGCGATGACAAAAGCCAGCAGCCATCGATTGACTGCGTCAAAAATTCAGAGAGAGAGACTTTAGGCGGCTCCTTTTGACAGATGAGAAAGAGAAACAAGTGCGAAAGCGTAACGTCTAAACTAATAAATGCGAGACGAATCTTTGGGAACAGAGACGTTGTGACACTTTCCCGTGAGCCACGTCGCGCCCAGACGTCTGAAAAATTGCTCTGTCTCGCCCAAATTGAATTCGTCCCTTGAAATAAACCAATCAGCATAATTTTTTTAAAGAAAGCAAGAAAGATTCTATAAAAAATAAGAAACAAAATATATAAATTTGCCATTGCTCTTAAAATACTAAATTTTATCTATCACTTAAATAATTTTACTTGAAAAAAACTGTAAATATTTTGTTAATTTAATTAATACCATTTTTTTTTCACTTTAATCTCAACTCTTTTAAATAAAATAAAAATTCTAATTAAAGACTTTTTTATTTAAATTAAAAATTAATTTTGAATTGTGTCAATTGCGGTTAATTTGGTGTTGCAGCAGACGATGAATTCCTCGTCTTGCCGGAGCGAGCCGCGTCTGGAGAACATCCCGACGATCGCGACCTCGAGTTCGGACTCGCCGGGGGCGCCTCGCCGAAGCCCCCGGGCGCCAACCGGCGCCCGCCGCGTCAACAGCGTCAAGGGCACGGCCGGCCATCACCATCAGCAGCAGCAACAACAACAGCACCACCACCGCGGCGAGTCGGTGCGCGAGACGAGCCACAAGAGGGGCGGATTCCTCGACGTGCCCGGCATGGAAGAACCGATGCACCCTGACGAGGACGAGTCCTACCGCCTCAGGGAGTTCTCCCTCACCAGCAAGGGTGAGTACCTTGTTTATTTTATCCCAAACTTATACAAAAATTTCTTTCTTTGAATAATTGAATTTTGATATCAAAATAAGTTTTTATCCCAAACTTATTTTATTAAAAATTTAGGAAAATCGAATAAGAAAACTAGAAAAAAAAATAAATAAACTTTTGCGAGCGTGAAAAGAATTGTGAAGGGAAATGTAATCAGGAACACATTAATTTATTTTCTGTTCGAATTTTGCAATTTACTAAATGGAAGTTTCTACGTTCAATCTAATCAAATCAAAGCTGCAAAAGTGGCAAAGAATTGAATGATCTAAAATTGAATTTTTATACAACATTCACTTCTTCAACATTAATTAATTTAAACGGATGGAAAATAAATATTTTTTGATCCGAATAATTTAGATAATATTGTTAAAATATTTTAATTTAAAAATAACATGAAAAATTGAAACCGTGAGAACCTTGTTTTTTATCTGGTTTTTACTTTTTCTCGTAAAAAAAGGTTTGAATTCTTTTAAAACTTAATTTCTTGTGGATATTTATTGCAGATTTCAATTTTTGCTTGTGTTTGGCTATCATGGAAATTTATAAGCAACATTTTTAACAAGATTCGAGCTTAAAATGGTGCCTTTTTTGTAAAAAGAGACACTTAAACGGTCTATTTACATTTACGCAGTCCAATCCTCTTGAGACGAAATAGATCTTTTGCGTCACTCTCTGTCGATCCCAAATGGCTGATGAATAAAAAGTCTCTGCTCTGTTTTATTCCTCCTCGGTCGGCCGAGAGAGGCAGAAAGTGCAAATCTGTGGTCGCAAAACCTGAATCGACACAGCCGGCGAAAAAGGCCTGCAAGGAAAGAAAAAGAGGCGTCAAATGCCCAGCATTTTTTCGGCTCGACTTTTATATCTGCGGTGCGCGCGTGCGGCTTTCAAGGAAATTGAGTTATGCGGATGGAGAGAGGACCGGGAAATGCGTGTTGTGTGGCGAGGAAGGATGAAAAAAGGAAAGGAGGAAAAAGGGACAATTTTGCGACAGCCCGGGAATGCCAATTCGGGAAGAGATGAACGAAAATCGAGGCTTTCAGTGGAAATTTCGGCTTCACCAGGTTTTCAGCAGCCAGCAGAGCGCATAAAGCAAGAATTTTCATAGAGGTATAAACTTGAAATAAGTAGATTTGGAGGGAATATTATTAAAGCTTTGTGTTTTTATTCCATAAAATAGGATTTTTTTTTATTGATCCGAAATAAAAAAGGCCGGTGAATTTAAAATATTTTAAATAAATAAACAATTCCTTGCAGATTTTATTTCCAATAATTAAAACTTGATCAATTAGCAAAACTATATTTTTATTTTGCAAATTATCATTTTCTTCTTATTTGAATTTTCTACTGTTTTCAAGTTTTTTCCTTCCAAAAATCGTTCCGACTTTAAAAATTTGTTAAAAGTTTCATCAACACTCCAATTAATTTTTAATTTAGGAAGTAAAACAATAATTTGCATGCTGATTTTATTACAAAAGTTTTTTAATTCTTTTCTCATCTTCTTAATAATTTGAAAGTTTCTATATAAAACTTTTGCTTATCCTAATTGTGGAAGTTCGGAGTCCAATGTTTTATTCCAGAGCCGAGACCCGTCAAGTGGAATAATTTATAGCAAATATGTCAGAAGGCAAGGGTAAAAAACGTTCGCTGAAAGAGAAGTGGCCCGAAATAACGACCGCTCTCCCGTCTCGCAGCTGGTCTCGTTTTCTGCTGACTGGCCACTATTTCCGATCCGATTTACTCCATTTTTTTTTCTTCACATGTTTCATCCGTATTACTATTAATGACGGGATTTGTTTGAGATGAGAAAATATGGTGTGCAACATTCCACGTCGTTTGTCACAATTTCACCCGTCGATTCCGTGATTGAAGATATAAAAAAAAAATCTATAAAGGGTGGGACAAGATAAATTGAACAAAAAAGTTTATTCAGTTCTCTTTTAGTTAATTTTTTTATTTAATTTTTAAGCTGTTATTTAAAAGAAAACAATAATTTTTTTTCAATTAATCAGTTAATTTAATATTTTCCAATTTTTTCTTACAATAAATTAATCATTTTATTCATACAAAATCTATAAAAATAAATTTAAATATTTCAAAGTTTACTGTAATTGAAAATTCCACAACTTTTCCCTCATCTCGCATTCATTGTAGTTTTTCCACTGCTACATATAAAGCAATTTCGCATGACACATATTTTTTTTATTATTATATTGCGATTCCGCTTCTTTCATCTCTCCTTTTAAAGCGTCTACTTTTTAATATGAGCCTGTGTGTTGCGAGTGGAAAATTTTCGCGCTGGAAAAGAGCTCCTTCTCGCCCGTCGAGCTCACAATGCTCTTTCTCACTTGGCGCTCGGAGAATATCTCGCACACTCGATCTCGCCTTCCTTGCATCGCATCCAAATGCAAAGAGGGCTTTTCGTAATTAGCGGCAGGGCTAATTAGTTTTTGCACGGCGAGCGCGAAAACTGCTCTCCGCTCGTGTCGACTTCAATTAAAACTTTTAATGGGCACTGCTGTGAAATTATTGCACTCTACCTTTTGCTAAATGAAAACGAATATACAAACCTTCGGTATAGTTGCCACTCGCAGAAATAATAATAAACGTTTATACAACGGAGTGCCACGGAATGCGGAAAGTATCAAATTATGTTTCAAAATTAAGTTGACATTGTTCAACCGTAAATTTAATGAACACGGTATTAGATGAAAAGATTGATGAGCTAATTAAAATATTTGAGATCAATTTTTAGTTTAAAAATTGGTCAAACGTAAAAAAACAAACAGGAATAAAAAGTAAAATAAAAAAAAAATCAGAAATTAATTCTTCAATTAATTACTTTGTAGCTTCAAGAAAATAATTTAAATCCGATGTTATTCCAAACGACAAATAGAAGAAAAATCCATGTTTTGCTACATATTTTAATTGAGCTTTTGATTTGATTGGGTAATTTTTTTATTTTTGGACAGCTATTTGAATAAATTTCTGAAAAAAAAAAATGTTTATTTTTTTTTATCAAAAAAATAGGCAAAGACCAGGAATTTGCATCATCATCTTCACCTTTACTTTTCACCTGTATATTGCCAGCTGATCGGCTTCTCATATCACACTCGTCATCGCTCGCATACGGTTGAGAATTCTCTAATTACCAAAGATGAGACTTCACAAATTTATGTATTTTGTTCTTTGCAAAAATTATTTCTCGCAGACTGAGCTGATTTTTTTCTCAAAATATAGGCACTTTCAAATATAAAAATTATTTTAATTTTTGGCTCTTTCGCTTTTCTAATCTTCATTTAAAATTTTCATCAGGATAAAACCAAAAAAATACAGTAAATTCTAGTAATTAAAATTCCGTAACAGTTTTTCGCAAAATTATTAGTTTCCTTTAAAAAAATAACTGTTCAAAATAAATTGTTCGTCTTTAAAATTTGTTGCAAAACTCTAAATATAAATTTTTAATGTTTTTGTTGTTTGTTCTCAAAATTTTAAATTAAGCATGTTTTGCAAGGGGGCGATTTCGAGCGGCTCGTGCGGGTCACGCGCGAATGGGTTTTTGTGGCGAGCTGAGAGAGTGGCTGATGGCGGTGTTGGGCGCGCATTTGCATCGAGATTACAGAGTGGCCGCTCACGAAATAGCGAGAGAGCAGAGAAGCAAAGGTCAGCCAGAATGCTCTCTAAACACGGTTATTTTAGGACAAGAGTGCACCGCGAGAGTTTATCTGCGCGCTCGCACATCACATAGAGTAAGAACCAAAATAAAACTTATATCTTGCGCACACAACGGTCTGGAATTCGTCCAGCGGTATAATTAAGCGCTCGAAAACACAGCCCTAGTTACTATAAATTATTCTATGAAAACATACAAAATTTCCGACAATAGTGGAGCGGAAATATTTTTGCAATGCTTATTGCATAAGATAAAAACTATAAATTCATTAAAATGTAAAATTTTAATATTTGAGATTTACTTAAGGTAAAAAAGCTGAAATTAAATTAGCATAACTAAATATTCTTATCCTGGATGAGATTTAAAATAATCAAATACAAAATTTAAAAAAGTTTAGTTTTTATCTTAAAACAGTGCATTTTTTATAGTTTTTTCCGCAGTTGAACTTCTTTTTTAGAGCTTTTATTTTTAAAATCAAATTTAATATTCAACAAAAACTGCCAAAATTTGTAACAAATTGTTAAAAACAAACTTAATTTTTCTGGGAAACCCTAAACTATTGCTGTGTTAATCAAGTTGGTCTCATCAATAAAATTTTCCCTCAATTATCAAGACACTCCATCAAACAATATTTACTTATTTTACCGAATTGAACGAATTGGAATCACTGACGTGGGCGCGTCTCAAATATTTGCGTTTAATCTTCTCTGAGCAAACCAAAGCATTGGGAATTTCTGAATTTCTCTGCAGGAAAGAATAAATGAAGCAACTCTAAAAAAGTCGATTTTGTACAAGTTTAGGAAGTCTCTGGATGAGAAAAAACGAATGTTTCTACTGGTTTCTACGTAGAAGCTCCACAACCAGGTGATTGATGATCACATATTGAGATTCAGGTACCCCTCAGTTGGTTTTAACGTTTTTCCATTTTTTGAAAAATGCACGCATTATATCTATCAGAAGAGCACACATATGATAGGATCAAACCAATCCTTAATAATATGGGTTTGGCAAAACGACTAATTAAGACTTTTCGGGATACGCGTTTAAAACATATAAATTATACCTTTGAAATTTACTATTTGATGAAAACACCCAATATTGATGTCAATTGATGTTTTATTTTTTTTAATATTTCTGTTTTTAAATGAATATTTCACATTTTTTAATCTTTTTGACCGCCAATTTTAAATTCGAGACAGATTGGACCAGATTTCTGCGGTTTTTTAATCCTCGATTTATTGATTTCCATCCATATGCATATAATTTTATTAAAATGTTTTTTATTAAATAA